CACATTGTTGGCTCATGTTTAACTTGTTGTCCACGAGGACTCCAAGATCTTTTTCACACGTACTGCTCTCGAGCCAGGAACCCCCCATTCTGTATCTTTGCATTTTGTTTAACTTAACCAAACTTGGCACACAGAACCCCCATTACCCACTTTACATCCTGGTGCAGTTTGCGAAAGGATGGACCATGGATGACAGGGCTTGCAATACGTTCACTCACTTCCCGAGACTGCTGCGACCCTCTTCCAATTACTGATCAAGACCAAACTTGGCACACAGAGCCCCCATGACCCACTCTACATCCTGGTACTGTTTAGAGGAGGATGGACCATGGATGATGGGACTCGCAGAACCTTCACTAACTTCCTGAGACAACTGCAAGTCACATAAATAACTGATAAAGACCAACCTTGGCACACAATGCCTTTTTCAAATAACTTGGGCACCGCCGGGTCCCCAAGCTAGTCTTCAATAAAAAAAGGATTGTTTTCCTACTCAACATGTGGTGTTTTGAAGTCAGAGAGTTATTCCTGTTCTGGGGTGCAACAGGTGCCTTTAAATCTCTCCTCGCTTCTGCCTCACTCTTAGAATGCGATATACTTAGGCGATCCCTCGCTTTCCGAGGATGATTGTCTTCCAATATTCTTGTGGGTCCGTATGTGGCTGTGGAGCCCTATTCTTGCTCTGCATCTTCTTCCGCAGTGAGGGCATTGGTTTCCAGGTGGAAGGCGGTCTCGGTCGGGGTTGGCTTGATGCGCCTTCCTCTTGGCACGTTTCTCCCTTTCGCCCTCCATTCGTGCCTCTTCAAATTCTACAGCACTGCTGGTCACAGCTGACCTCCAGCTGGAGCTCAAGGGCCAGGGCTTCCCGTTCTCAGTGTCTATGCCAGAGTTTTTAAGGTTGGCTTTGAGCCCATCTTTAAATCTCTTTTCCTGTCCTCCAACATTCTGTTTTCCGTTCTTGAGTTCGGAGTAGAGCAGCTGCTTTGGGAGACGGTGGTCGGGCATCCGCACAACGTGGCCAGTCCAGCGGAGTTGGTGGCGGAGGACCATCGCTTCAATGCTGGTGGTCTTTGCTTCTTCCAGCACGCTGACGTTTGTCCGCTTGTCTTCCCAAGAGATTTGCAGGATTTTCCGGAGGCAGCGCTGATGGAATCGTTCCAGGAGTTGCATGTGACGTCTGTAGACAGTCCACGTCTCACAGGCATAGAGCAGGGTTGGGAGGACAATAGCTTTATAAACAAGCACCTTGGTATCCCTACGGATGTCCCGGTCCTCAAACACTCTCTGCTTCATTCGGAAAAAATGCTGCACTTGCAGAGCTCAGGCGGTGTTGTATTTCGGTGTCAATGTTGACTTTTGTGGAGAGGTGGCTGCCAAGGTAGCGGAAATGATCAACATTTTCTAATGTTACACCATTAAGCTGTATCACTGGCATTGGAGAGGGGTTGGCTGGTGCCTGCTGGAAAAGCACCTTGGTTTTTTCAATGTTCAATGACAGGCCGAGCTTCTCGTATGCTTCTGCAAAGGTGTTTAGAGTGGCTTGTAGATCTTCTTCTGAATGCGCACAGACCACGTTGTCATCAGCATACTGGAGTTCTATAACAGATGTTGTTGTAACCTTGGTTTTGGCTTTCAGTCTGCTGAGGTTGAATAGCTTGCCATCTGTCCGATAGATGATTTCCACTCCGGTGGGAAGCTTCCCATCAACAAGGTGAAGTGTCATAGCAATGAAGATGGAGAATAGAGTTGGGGCAATAACACATCCCTGTTTGACACCCGATTCCACCTTAAATGGGTCACTTTGGGAGCCATTGCTGTCCAAGACTGTTGCCATCATGTCATCGTGGAGGAGCCGCAGGATGTTCACAAATTTGCTTGGGCACCCGATTTTTTGGAGGATAGTCCAGAGAGCGCTGCGATTCACTGTGTCGAATGCCTTTGCAAGGTCGATGAATGCCATGTACAGAGGTTGATTTTGTTCTCTGCATTTTTCTTGGAGCTGTCGTGCAGTGAAGATCCTGGGATTCTGGGAGGGTGTCTTCTGAGAGGGGCAGAAGGCGGTTTGCAAGGATTCTTGCGAGGATTTTCCCAGCGGAGGCTAGAAGGGAGATACCTTCCCTACTTCGCAGATATTCACTTTTCGTGGGTGGTCCTGGAACGTAACGCCCGCAATAAGTGAGGGAACACTGTAAACTTATTTATTAACTTCCTTCATGAAACTTCATTTGAACTCCCGTATATCCCTTTGCGGTTGATGGGGATTTTGCTTGTTGTGTGTTCTTATGGAGCAACTACTTTTAATACTCTCTTCTTTTTAATCCTTTGATAACTGACATTTAGCCGCACCTGTTTTTATTTGGGCCTTTGCTAATTAAAGGGCAGAAGGCTTTTCGCCTTTGTGCCCTCGTGACAGGATAAGTTGCGCATGTTCCAAACCGATCTGATCAAAATATTTCCGAGCGCAGAAAGCAAATCTCAGTGCCAACAATTAAGAGGACGATTGTGTAATTAGCGCTTGACTCTTTTGCCTTTTTTCTAAGCCGTACTTTCAGGATTTGTTTGCATATTAAAATTTGAGCACATAATTTAGCCATGTTTCTAGTTTGAAGGCGAAAAAAATCACATAAAACAGATAGAAAATGGAGCAAAATATTTGCATTCATGAATGAAAGCAAATCGAAATATCCGGTATGCTACATTACTTCCTGCCCTCTTTGTTCTGCTTCTGTATTTTTGGAAGGCATTCTTCTAATGTAAATATAAGTAGTAGAAATGCATTTTTTACTGAAATGAATCCTTTTTGCATCCTTTTGTTGACATCCTGACCTATCAGAAATTGCCAACGGACTGTCATTTATTTGATCATGACTCCTATGCATTTAATCTTGGAGAGACACCATGCTATGTATTTGCGTTTTGAAATGAATCATAGCAAAATGTAATGTTTGTGTTGTTGAAGGCTTTCATGGCTGGAATCATTGGGTTGTTGTGAGTTTTCTGAGCTGTCTGACCATGTTCCAGAAGCATTCTCTCCTGACATTTTGCCTGCATCTATGGCAAGCATCCACAGAGGTTGTGAGGTCTGCTGGAAACTAGGGAAATTGGGTTTATATATCTGTGGAATGTCCAGGGTGGGAGAAAGAAATCTTGTCTGCTTGAGGCAAGTTGGTTACCTTGATTAGCATTGAATGGTCTTGCAGCTTCAAAGCCTAGCTGTTTCCTGCCTGGGGGAATCCTTTTTTGGGGCAGTGTAAGACTGTAGGATCTATATAGCAATATTAAATAACCACTCACAAGTCGTTTTTGCTTTGAAATGGATATATTGCTTGTATCTCTGCAGCAAAGAGATACTACTGACTTTTCCCCACCACCACTTCCTTTTATACACCTTTCCTGCCCATCTCCCCACTCTTCTCAGTTTCCTTATTAGAACTTGTTGCTTCACAAGTTCCAATACAAGATTTCCAGCGCAGTCTTAGCTGGCCCTGATTGTTTCCTGTCTGGAATTCCACTGGTTTTTTTTTAGTATTACTCAAACCACCATGTCAGAGAAGCCATTGAAATCCACAAGCATGTGGACAATTTCAACAGAAAGAAGGAAACCATGAAAATGAACAAAATCTGGCTCCCAGTATTAAAATAAACTCTAAAATCAGGACAGTAAATACAGAGCAATACTCTAAAAACAGGGGAATTCCAGACAGGAAACAATCAGGGCCAGCAAGAACCACCAATAAAGAATTCCCCCAGGCATGAAGCAGCCAGGCCTTGAAGCTGCAAGGCTTTGCAATGCTAATCAGGGTGATTAATTGAAATATTCACATTTGCCTCCAATAGACAAGAGTTCTTTCTCCCACCCTGGAGCTTTAATAATAATAAAGGGCCAGCTAATCACCTCCCAACAAAGGATTCCCCACCAAGAAGCAGTCAGGGTTTGAAGCTGCAAGGCTGTTTAATACTAATCAATTTGGCCAGCTGCGACATTCATATTTGCCTCAAGTAGACAAGGGTTTTTTCTCCCATCCTGGACATTCTTCCACAGATATATAAACCCCACTTGCTTAGTTTCCAACAGACCTCACAACCTTTGAGACTGTTTGCCATAGATGTGGGCAAAACATCAGGAGAGAATGCTTCTGGAGCATGACTAAACATCCCAAAAAACTCACAGCAACCCAATGTGATATTGGTTCTTAAAGGCTTGTTTGGCAACATTTATCTTGTGCAAAGATCCAACTGTACTGGATATATTAATAATTAGCCATCCCCTTCCACGCGTTGCTGTGGCCCACTCTGGTGGTCATGGGGGTCCTGTGTGGGAGGTTTGGCCCAATTTTATCGTTGGTGGGGTTCAGAATGCTCTGTGATTGTAGGTGAACTACAAATCTCAACAATTACAACTCCCAAATGTCAAGATGCTATTTTCCCCAAACTCCACCAGTATTCACATTAGGGCATATTGAATATTCGTGTAGAGTTTGGTCCAGATCCATCATTGTTGGATCCACAGTGCTCTCTGGATGTACAACTCCAAAACCAAAGGACACTGCCCACCAAACCCTTCCAGTATTTTCTGTTGGTCATGGGGGAACTGTGTGCCAAGTTTGGTTCAATTCCATTGTTGGTGGGGTTCAGAATGCTCTTTGATTGTAGGTGAACTATAAATCCCAGCAACTACATCTCCCAAATGACAAAATCATATATTTTTTTAGTGGACATACATTGGGTTGTTAGGTGTCTTGTGTCCAAATTTGGCGTCAATTCGTCCAGTGGTTTTTGAGTTCTGTTAATCCCACAAACGAACATTACATTTTTATTTATATAGATAATTATATGGAATCAGGACGAAATATTGGCTGGATCTCCATCAGCGCCTACTGTCTTTATTGTGCTCTCACAATGTGATTAACTCACTCGGAACAGTCATGCCTCACGATTGCAGATGTACAAAGTGTGCATGTGGAAGTTGTTAACGCTTCACTTCTTTTGTCTGCATTTAGGGAAAAACTGGGATTTGACGGCTGCTCTCAGTGACTATGAGCAGCTTCGACAGGTCCATACGGCCAACCTACCCCAGGTATTCAATGAAGGAAAGTATCCCAAGCAGCAGCAAGAAAGAGAGCCTTCCCAACAGGTGAACAAGAGCGAACGGCCGTCTCTGCAAAGGCAGGATGACATCGCGCAAGGTAAAGCACTTCCGGGTTTATTTATTTACTAGCTGTCCCCTGCCGCACGTTGCTGTGGCCCAGTCTGGTGATCTGGAAAATAAAGTAATGAGAAAGTGTGGGTTTCTAATATATGTAATTTCTTTCTGCTTGTGGGTAAACAGTATTTCTTGCTGTTTCTTTGTCAGTGTTGATGTGGAGAGTGTCTGGTTTGCCTACTCTGGAACACGTAACATATCATTGTCCTTCTTTAGGGGTCCCTTTCAAATCTTCGATACTGCATCTGTCATATACATATGTGTGTGTGTGTGTGTGAATGGCTGGATGGCTCTTTGTCAGGAGGGCTTTGATTATGTTTTCTTGCCTTGGTGAAGGAAGTTGGACTAGATGTCCTTAAGGCAGCATTTCTCAACCTGGGAAGTCAAGACCCTGGGGTGGGTCAGAAGGGTCACCAAAGACCACCAGAAAACACAGTATTTTCTGTTGGTCATGGGAGTTCTGTGTGGGATGTTTGGCCCAATTCCATCGTTGGTGGGGTTCGGAATGCTCCTTGATTGTAGGTGAACTATAAATCCCAGTAACTACAATTCCCAAGTGTGAAGGTCTATTTCCCCCAAACTCCACCTGTGTTCATATTTGGCCGTATTGAGTGCTTGTCCCAAGTTTGGTCCAGATCCATCATTGTTTGAGTCCGCAGTGCTCTCTGGATATAGGTGAACTACAACTCCCAAACTCAAGGTCAATGCCCACCAAACGCTTCTAGTGTTTTCTGTTGGTCATGGGAGTCCTGTGTGCCACGTTTAGTTCAATTCCATCGTTGGTGGAGTTCAGAATGCTCTTTGATTGTAGGTTAACTATAAATCCCAGCAACTACAATTCCCAAATGACAAAATGATTTTTTTTTAGTCATGGCTACTCCTTGGGTTAGTAGGTGTCTTGTGGCCAAATTTGGCGGCAATTCGTCCAGTGGATTTTGACTTATGTTATTCCCACAAACAAACATTACATTTTTATTTATATAGATTGCGTCAGAAGCAAATTGAGAATAGTTATAATGTGTAGAGAAACCACAAACGAAGTTGAAAACTTGGCATGTTACTAAACGAAATACAAAGATACAGAATGGGGGACAATGCCTGGCTCGAAAGCAGTACATGTGAAAAAGATCTTGGAGTCCTCGTGGACAGCAAGTAAAACATGAGCAAACAATGTCATTTGGCGGCAAAAAAAGCCAATGGGATTTTGGCCTGCATCAATAGAGCATAGTGTCTAGATCTAGGGAAGTAATGCTACCCCTCTATTCTGCTTTGGTTAGACCAAACCTGGAATATTGTGTCCAATTCTGGGCACCACAATTCAAGAGAGATATTGACAAGCTGGAATGTGTCCAGAGGAGGGCGACTAAAATGATCAAGGGTCTGGAGAACAAGCCCTATGAGGAGCGGTTTAAGGAGCTGGGCATGTTTAGCCTGAAGAAGAGAAGGCTGAGAGGAGATATGATAGCCATGTATAAATATGTGAGAGGAAGCCACAGGGAGGAGGGAGCAAGCTTGTTTTCTGCTTCCCTGGAGACTAGGACACGAAACAATGGCTTCAATCTACAAGAAAGGAGATTCCATCTGAACATGAGGAAGAACTTCCTGACTGTGAGAACTGTTCAGCAGTGGAACTCTCTGCCCCAGAGTGTGGTGGAGGCTCCTTCTTTGGAGGCTTTTAAACAGAGGCTGGATGGCCATCTGTCAGGGGTGCTTTGAATGCAATATTCCTGCTTCTTGGCAGGGGGTTGGACTGGATGGCCCAGGAGGTCTCTTCCAACTCTATGATTCTATTATTCTTTTTCGTAAGGCTGGCTCTGCATCTCGTGTTGCCAGAGCGCAGTCTGTTCAGCACCTTCCAAGTCGCCCCGCCTTCTGTGTGCCCAGGAGGGAGTCTTTCATCTAGTGTCGGCCATTGGTTGAGGTTCCGGGTTTTAGCCTGCCACTTTTGGACTCTTGCTTGCTGAGGTGTTCCTGCAAATATCACTGTAGATCAGGGGTCATCAAACTTCCAACTCTTAAAACTCTATGATTCTGTGAACTATATTAAAGGGTCGTGGCATTAGGATGGTAGCGAAACCTTCCTAGACTGTCTTCATTGCCATAGGCTTCCAAATGGCTATTTGCAAGCAGGCTTAAGAGAAAAACAATAGAATGCATCTCTTGCTTCTTGTAAGGTAGGGTACATTTTCTGCAAAGCTTCTGTAGATGTCAACCTTAGCCAGAAAAGAATAGAAAAGCAGAGCTTGCCTTTAGATCTGAGCTTGATGGTTACTTCTGTCTCAGCTATTTGGAGATTAAAGCCAACCTTGGTGTCTTTGATGTCTGATGTTATGTTGCGCTGCCAGGGGGGTGGCTCTGCGATGAATTTCATTTGATCCATCAGGAAAGTTGGCGAGGGAAAACTGAATAATTCTTGCATATATTTCTTGATGTTCTGGTAACCATGTCTTCAAGAAAATTGTAGCAGCTCTCTGAAGAACCCTGATTACTATGTCGAATAAAAATAGAAACTTCACAACATTTCAAGAAGAGCTTCCCGTGGTTTCCAGTGCTCTCCTTAAGTGCCTCTCTTTTTATACTCAGCCAAATCCGGAAAATATGTAAGAATATTGGTTTGATACTCATCATAGAATTGCAGCGTACACAATCATGCTTCAAATTGTACTATTCCATATTACAACAAGCCGTGTCATATTTATTTGCAGTATTTTTATTCCACCCATCTCACCCCGCAGGGGACTATGGGCGAATTATAGTGCACATATACATGGCAAACATTCAATGCCAAGTGGTCCCAATCTTCAAGAAGGGGAAAAAGGATGACCCAAACAATTACCAATGTCCGGTCAGCCTCACGTCGATACCAGGCAAGATTCTGGAAAAGATTGTTAAGGAAGCAGTCTGCAAACACTTAGAAACAAATGCGGTCATTGCTAATAGTCAACATGGATTTATTAAAAACAAGTCATGCCAGACTCATCTGATCTCTTTTTTCGATAGAGTTACAAGCTGGATAGATGCAGGGAATGCCGTGGATGGAGCGTACCTGGATTTCAGGAAGGCCTTCTTTGACAAGGTCCCCCATGACCTTCTGGCAAGGAAACTAGTCCAATGTGGGCTAGGCAAAACTACGGTGAGGTGGATCTGTAATTGGTTAAGTGGACGAACACAGAGAGTGCTCACTAATGCTTCCTCTTCATCTTGGAAAGAAGTGACAAGTGGAGTGCCGCAGGGTTCCGTCCTGGGCCCGGTCCTGTTCAACATTTTTATTAATGACTTAGACGAAGGGTTAGAAGGCATGATCATCAAGTTTGCAGACGACACCAAATTGGGAGGGAGAGCCAATATTCCAGAGGACAGGAGCAGGATTCAAAACGATCTTGACAGATTAGAGAGATGATGGGCCAAAACTAACAAAATGAAGTTCAACAGTGACAAATGCAAGATACTCCACTTTCGCAGGAAAAACGAAATGCAAAGATACAGAATGGGGGACAATGCCTGGCTCGAGAGCAGTACGTGTGAAAAAGATCTTGTAGTCCTTGTGGACAACAAGTTAAACATGAGCCAACAATGTGATGTGGCGGCAAAAAAAGCCAATGGGATTTTGGCCTGCATCAATAGGAGCACTAGTGTCTAGATCTAGGGAAGTCATGCTACCCCTCTATTCTGCTTTGGTTAGACCACAACCTGGAATATTGTGTCCAATTCTGGGCACCACAATTCAAGAGAGATATTGACAAGCTGGAATGTGTCCAGAGGAGGGCGACTGAAGTGATCAAGGGTCTGGAGAACAAGCCCTATGAGGAGTGGCTTAAGGAGCTGGGCATGTTTAGCCTGAAGAAGAGAAGGCTGAGAGGAGATATGATAGCCATGTATAAATATGTGAGAGGAAGCCACAGGGAGGAGGGAGCAAGCTTGTTTTCTGCTTCCTTGGAGACTAGGACGCGGAACAATGGCTTCAAACTACAAGAAAGGACATTCCATCTGAACATGAGGAAGAACTTCCTGACTGTGAGAGCCGTTCAGCAGTGGAACTCTCTGCCCCGGAGTGTGGTGGAGGCTCCTTCTTTGGAAGCTTTTAAACAGAGGCTGGATGGCCATCTGTCAGGGGTGCTTTGAATGCAATATTCCTGCTTCTTGGCAGAATGGGGTTGGACTGGATGGCCCATGAGGTCTCTTCCAACTTTGATTCTAGGATTCTATGATTCTATGATTCTAGACACACAACATATATAGACAAACGCAGAGGCAGTTTAAGCTTATTGGGGGTATGTTTGAATTCCGGTCACCGGGGGAGCTGTCGCTTCACGGTCCACTTGTGGCACCAAGTCCTTGATGGAGTACTTCCTCATTCTTTTGCCCGCTACTGGAGATTTTTATGGCATCGTAAATTAGTTAAATTAGCCTCCCCGCATAAGCGGTACCTAAATTTCCTACTTGACAGATGCAACTTGTCGCACCTCAGGATAGATTCACCTTGCTTAGAACACCACACACACCAAGGCTGTAGGTTTTGTAGTTTATTAAAGAAAAGGCAAAGTCTTAAACACAAAAGCAAAGTTGCAAGAGTTCAATAGTCAAACAGGGTCTTAAATGCAAAGGCAGAGTTTTCAAAGTCCAAAGGCAAATAACATGAAGCATAATCCATAAGCATTGATCAAATAAGATTCCAGGGCAGCATGACAGAGTCTCAAGAAGCCAAGATCCAAATCAAAGTCTTAGTAGCCAAAAGCATTGCCCAAAAACCCAGGCAATTCCCAAGAAGTTATCAGGGTGTTCGCTGAAGTTGCACTGACAAAAGGTTGCATGCAATCAGCTCACTAAATACACTTTCCCAGCATGAAAACATTCCTTTGACCTCTAACCTCTCTCTTGTTTGCAAGCCTTGTACTACGGCGAACCCTGAATTCCAAACGGTCCACCCTATCTAAGTCTGCAGAGCCTTCAAGGTCGAATACCTCATTATCCTTATCCTGGAGC